GGTCTAATTTGAATCACGAGTTAGTTTACATTGGAACTCAGTTAAATTCAATAATCAGGATTCGTTTTGACCATTAGGTTCACCTCTAAGTAATCAACTATATTGCGAGATATAAATGAAATTAATGTGGGGAATACATAAGAATAACTTATCTAACTTGAATTCCTTCTTTCCATTCCCACTGCACTTCCTACTAATCGTTCTATGATGACTTGACAAATTGTATAAATATGCATTTTTCCTTTGTCTTATTTACGGTTTTCCTTAGACTAAATGATCCAGAATCATTCGTACTTAATATTTTTTCAAGCAACTGGTGATGTTTCGACGATCCGTTTGTTTTTCTGTAAATAAAGGATGCACAGAGGCTTATTTTGAACTTTACACGCTTGGAGATTAGTTGGTTTGACCGCGAAGAATTGAATAAAATATTTCCAATTCCTGGTTTTTTTTAGACTGGATCGCAATATCGATCTAGCCTGGACCAGTTTAGCCTTGAAAGCATGCATTTTGAGAGGTATACAAGTTGCCTTCTCCATTAAAGTCCCTTGGTTTCGGCCAATTACATTGAATTCACACCCAAGGACGTGCTACTAGAAAGTTACCTTTGTTCCAGAATCATTTCGGCATCACAACCTTAAGGAAAGATCTAGTGATTAAAAATCATATGTTCTGTCTCTGCGCATTGAATAACCCAAAATTTTTGTTCTCCAAGGCAATGCTTTTAGCATTCTTGTTACTATGCCGAATTGACATGACGCTTATAGCTTTACTTTTCTGTGTCCCAGAATCGTTTCTTGACCTATCGTCGCATCAACCCACCATAATCTATTTTTATATTTTTGTGTGCATAGTTTTCCTGTGTTTTGCTCGTGCCTATTATTTTTGCTTAATTCTAGTAGAATTGCAAATGTCTCCTTGAGTTGGATCCTTCTCAGGGTTTTTTTTCGCTAATCTTGTAGCATCATGTCTATGTCGACGAATCTGGCTGCATTTTTATCTAAGTTGGATGTTATACTTAGCCACTTTACATCATGGAATGGAAATCTCGATTTCCCCATTTTTTCTAGTAAAATTCTTATTCTATTCTTTATAGATCAGTGCAATTTTAATTTAATTTAATTTATGCTTTTGAACATACTTGCGTTTACTAACGGCTTGTATGCAGATCAGAAATTGGATTGTAAAACATAATAAAGATGAAATCGTCTGATCTCGTTTTCGCAACATGGTCGTGTTGTCAGCCTAACCTAGTTGGACGCACCTCGTTCAAAGTCCTTTGCTATGGTAGTTATCATAATGACCAGCGTCGAACCGTGGACTTAGTACATCAATAGACGTTTAGCTGGAATCGAAGTCGACATCGTCAGTGAGTCTCGTCATTCTCAGCACCAGGAACCAGACTTGTCTGTTTGACTGGTTGTGGCCTACTTCTATGCATCTAAAGAAAACTGCAACCAAAATAGAGGTCAAAATATCTTGGGCTTCATATCATAATAAAGAAGGTTCGGAAAAACTGGAATGCATGTAAAAGACATGGTTCTCTTCACTACAAAAAAAGCTGCATTGCATGCTTATTTATTCCTTTTTAAGTTGCGTTAACTGCGAGAGGAACTCCATAGCTTGCTTAACTAACAATTAAAGTCCTAATACTGTCACCATTTTATGGATCACTTTGAATTCTGAATTTGTTTCCCATTTCATGCATACCCATTTTTAAAATGCAGTTCCTCTCAGCTCGTTATTCACACGCCTCTCGGACTTGGAGGCGGCCGTCCAGGCTCACGACTTTTGCTCCTTACACCGACCTGGCACCCCCTTCACGACCTCTTTTTCTGAATCCCACTCGTCCTCTTCGGCTCGCGGTCAAGTGGCCCTCCTGCGTATCAGTGCCGAAACCACTCGTGCGGTGGCGCTGTCTGCTGCCCGTTGGCTAGGCGCCTTTTCAGAAACGCACCCCTGCACTCACATACCCTCTAAGGGTGAAAATCTAACTGCAGACAGTGAACAAAGAGGAGAGGCGGCTGACAAAAGTGGTACATGCGTACCCGGGTGCTTAGCCCTAAGCCGAGCCTCAGATGACACCGAATCTATTTGGGTTAGCCCCGAGGCAGCGGATGCAGGCCTTGCTACCACTCTGGCTCCTCTCGCAAGGTTCGCCACTGCTTTTCGGGTATGCCTATAGGATCTTTTGCCTGAATGCTTGCCTCAATGTATATTTATATTTATAAGAACTCATGTAACCATGACTATGTGAGGTGTGTTCGTGCTATTTTGTTCAAGATGAAGGACTACTAGTTGAATTTTCCAGAAATCATATGAGTAAGCCTAAAACGTGTTCTCATCCATGCCAGATATAATTGCAGTTTCGACCTCGCCTTAACTGGTCTTATCAGCATCTTCAGCGGGATTCGAACCATGATATTGCAGCGTATAATCTCGATATGTTAACCACTAGGCCACTGCAGCGAGCGCCCTTGGTTCAGGGTAGATGTTAATTTCAAGAAAATCTAGGCATTTTCCCATATCACATTCTATTTTTGCAATAGCAATCGACTATATTACTTATTTTTCGTTTGTAAGTAAGTTTTCGAGACTACTATTAAATCAGATATATGAGATGAGATGAAGCTCTACTTACAAGCGAAAAATAAGTAACATAGTCGATTGCTATAGTAACTAAAACTTTGCTTCATCGATGATCTCTCCAAAGAATGTGATATGGAAAAATACCTGGTCCTTCTTGGAATTCACATCTACCTTGTGACCATAAAACACTGATGGCAATGTGGTGTAGCGATTAACGTTTCGTACGCTAGACTGTTAGGGTTCGAGTCCCGCTGGGAGTGTTGATAAGACCTAGGCGATTTAGAAACTGCTATCCACTCCTGCCTGGGTAAGAATACCTTTTTGCAAACAAGCCTATGTGGAATCCTATTGAAACGAAAGGTTTATTCATATCATTGTGGAAAAATTTGACCACCAGTCTTTCATCACTTTAAACAAAATAAGATGAATTCATCTCATATACCTGATAGTTTCGAAACCCTAATTACAAACTAAAAATAACCCTGGCTAAATTAAGCTGAAGTGAAGATTAATAATTTAATTTATATTCACTTTAAGTAAGTTCCATTACTACCAGTAGGCTTTTTCTGATAATTATATGCGACATAGGGTCAATGCATTTCTGATTCCAGGTCCTTTGTTAGAATCGAACTACTCAGTGTGAATATAAGTAATGTGACCGGTTGTAATGGCATACACAAGTTTGTCTTTTCGAAAACCCCTTATGCGATCTAGGCTGAATACAGTTCTCATCAATAGTTGAATTTCCCTTATTGACCGGAGTTTATACAGTCTTGCTTTCCCAAAGGCTTTCATTTTAAAAAATCTGGTCATACGACACCAGTCCTACTTAAGGTGTGATTTGTAAGAGGCCTAGTTTGCTTTGAAATAACTTCTTCCCTTTTTCCCGTCGGTGTCCGTTACAGAGTCTCTAAGTGTTAATGTGTTCCTGTTCGGGGTGGTAATGAGACTCGCGCGAGGTCGCTACTGTAGCCCATGCTTGATGAGAAAACATTTTGATGAGCAAGGTCGTTTGAAGTTCAACGGCTTCGTGAGTTTATTATGGGAAATTCGACCTTCATTTCTTTCTTAACCTTAAACTTAATGGACTATTCGAGTTCTTATTTAATATTTACCGATATTTTTGCGACTTACTTATTCAATACAGTTTTGTGTTTACTTAATTTTTGTTTATAAGTAAAGTTTCGAGACTACCAGTAAATCAGTAATATCAGATGTATTCACCCTATTTCGTTTAAGGTAATGTATACTTGTTTGCTTTTATTAGTAGGCTTTATTAATTTTGCATTCAGGCTTGTTTGGGGAATAAGGATTTGGCCCACATAATTTTCTTCATTCGGCTACGCTTGGTTTTTCTGTTCCAAATTGTTTCAGAACTCCGTTACAGAGTGCCCTTCAGATCTTGGATGTTATAAAGAGATGTGCTAACAATGATCTTCTTTATTCGCACATTCTTCAAGTTCGCTACTCTTTGTGACTCAGCCAGAATCCTTTTAAAGCCAAACCTGTGTTGAAAAATTTCTGCATCGTGAGGAGGAAATTCTACTGCTTTTGACATCTCTTCCATTTTTTATTAGAGGCAATTGCCATCCCTTCTTAGCTAGTGTAACGTTTTGACCATTCCTCAGGCTTTTATCTGATTCCAAAACCTGCTTGCCTCACTTGCTCTTAGATCTTTTGTAAACCATTTTGGGCGGATTTATTGGAAGTCGTTTGTAAATCTGCCATTTTCCCAGTCTAGGCAAGACTTTGTGATGACAGTTTGGGAAGACATCTGGCACCAAACAGACGATCCATCTCCAAGACGCGACATTCTTCCCAATACTGTTACATAATTCTCTGCAATTGCCGAGTCTACTTTTGAGAGAACTGATTCATAGCCTATATAAGTATTTCACATATTACATGGGAAGATGACACTCCTTTTAAATAGTCGCTTGTT